AAGCAGGTAATTAGTCTGTTAAATATTTTTTTCTTTATAAAGGAACATAAGTTGAGGTTTGTCTTTTATTTCTTTCCTCATTTACTGGGTTTTTGGGGAAATAGGATCATAGTTTGGCCACTATATAGACCCAGTTGGCGCCTATTTATTTGTCTACTATTTCCGGAATTTTTGTAAGCTATCCACCCCCTAGCTGCCGTCTGAGCGACGTCGAAGGCCCGAAGGTTGACACCGGAACAACCGAAACTTGTGTAACCGTAGTAGACAACATTTTAATTGTAGTTATTACTTTAATAATTTTTTTTTTAAGTTTAAAAATTTTGGTGGAATCACCAAGTTCATTTTGTAGGTTACAGTTAGGTTAGTAAAAAATATAAATATTGTGACAATAAGTGGGTGTCTAAATGCATATGTAGTTGAAATTTAATAATTTAACAACATTCAATCTGCTGTACTAAAAAGTTGACTAGAATGACCTCCTAGGCAAAGAAATATATTCACATTTTATAAAATTATTTTAAATACTCTCAAACATTTAATTCTGACAAATGATGCACCTTCTTTACACTAGTTGATCTGATAAAATTTGGTTTCTCTTTCCTTTTTTAGAGGAATTTGTTGTTCATGGCGAAGAAGGCAAAGACAACTTGTGTCTACCCTCAACTTCAGCAGAAGTAGAATTTATTGAACAAGTGCATAGTCAACCATCTGTTTCTCTACCTTGTGTAACAGCACAAATTCAAACGAGTAATGTGTTATCATCAAACACTCCAAGAAAGCAGAGACTGCGACTGAAGATAGCAACGTTGAGAAAACGTTTGTTTAGTTTAAAAAGAAGAAAAATAATTACTCATTTATTTAATATTTTTTATAAGTACCATTTATGTAATTATTCTATATTTTTGTTGTATATTAGGATATAGCTATTTTAATAAAGCTACTTATCTATGTATTATAAATTAGGCTTGCTCTATAAATCTGTGTAAATAATTTTAATTATTTTAATTTTCAATCAATTCTATTTTAATAAAATACATGCACTAGATTGTAAACTTATCAATTGCATAAATACACGTTTTTTATTTTTATTTTTTTTTTATTCATAAAATCCCTAAAATACGCTTTAGCTAATGATTTTTTTAACAATTATCCTAATTGATTTATACTTATGGATTATAAATGACTAGTGAGATTTATGGCACAATATTAATAGTTCATTATGACAGGGTAAAATAAACTATTGTTTAAAACTTTATAATTTTTATTTTTGAAACCTCTGTCGGAAGTGCTACAAATCAAAAATAATTATTAAATCGAGAATAGTTTTAAATGCATTTATGCAAATTTTCATAAAATATGACACATAATTATATAAAAGAGAAATGTAGTTTTTGCAGTGTAGGTTCAATGAATAGCTAGAGTACGATTTAACTTAGAAAAAGCCACGGGCGTCATCAACTAGTCATCGTCTGCCTCACTTTAAAATATTCCTTCTCCGTTGCTCCAGATCGATATACCAGTGGCGTAGGCTCTTATTTAAATAAGAATTAAAGCAGTTTCACAGCAAAAAACATTTATTGGATTAAAAAGTTAAATTTTAATGATTTAAACATTTGTATTTTACCTAAATAACTAAACTAAAATAACATTACACATATTTTTCGACTTCAGACTTGCAAAACATTCAGTGGGAAGTAAATAAAAATAGCAACACAATTTTGTAATTTAAGATTTTTATTACAATTAAAATAATAATTATTTATGCAACTAGTGCAAAAAGTGAAACTAGAGGAGTACATCCTAGTTCGTCTGTTAATAAAGTATTATACTCTGTTTTTAAACTAAGAGGAGCGATTTGAATTTAAGTTGGCAATTCTGTAGCCTTCTGATTGGTCAAATTACAGTCAGTTTCACACATTACTTTTTAGCATGAACATCAGCTAATAATTGATATTGTTGACAGTTCTGACATTTTATAATTTGATATCTCATCCATTACTTAGTTTTTTACTTTATTTCGTAAATAATAGTTCTTCAGTAAGCAATTGTACAAGCTAAGCCATTAAGTTCAGCGGATATGAAAAAATCGTGAAAAATAAACAAAAAGTAATATCATTACGAGTGTAAATTTAAATTAAAATACACAGATGGGAAATTATTTTTTAAAAATAATATCATCCAGATGTGCGCCATCTCGACGTAAGCACTCTTCGAATCTGAACCTCAAATTTGAGAAAACTCGTTGACACATTGCGCGTGGAATTGCAGTCATTTTCTCACGAATATTCTCCTTAAACTGATCTATCCTGCATGGCCTATTGGTGTAAACGCAACTCTTCAAATATCCCCAGAGGAAAAAATCACAAGGAGTCTGTACTTCTGGGAGGCCAAGGAATATCCCCTCGGCGCGATATCAGTTTACCATCAAACATCTCGTTTACGACCGCTATTGACAAATTAGACGTATAGCATGTTGCGCCATCTTGTTGAAACCATGTCCGCACATTAAATGGTTCAAATTGATGGAGTTGCGGGAAGAAAAATATGCGCAACATTGTTGTGTAACGATCAAAATTTACTGATACAGTCTGGCCTCGTTTGTCCTCAAAGAAATAAGGACCTATGATTTATTGTGCCGAAATAGCCGCCCAAACTGTAACTTTGGGTGAATGCAGTGGCTTTTGATGTTTTGATTTGGGATTTTCTGTTGCCCAATAGCGACAGTTCTGTTTGTTGACATGTCCATTTAAGTGAAAATGTGCTTCGTTTGAAAACAGAATATTGTTCAGAGTTGGAAAGCGCTCCAACATTGGTTGAACAAAAATACGGCGTAGGTTATGGTCATTGGGTTTCAACTCCTACACTAATTGAATTTTGTATGGATTCAGTTTTAGGTCTTTTACCAAAATTCGACCCAGGGATGTTCTTGATATGGCAAGCTCAGCCGATCTCTTTCGGGTTAATAATCCGGTGTCGTGTCGTACGGAAGTCCTAACTTCGTTAACTGATTCCTCTGTGCGTATTGAGCTTGGGCGCCCCGCAGGTTTCTGATTGAGTGTGGAACCTGTAGCCTCGAACTTTCTGACCCACGACCTGATCACAATTTCACTGGGACACTGATTTAAGTCATGCAATCCGTACTCGGCACGAAATAAACGCCGCACAACAGTACACGAGTCACCATTTTTATAACAATGCTTTACGCAGAACGCACGCTGCTCACCGGAGAAACGCTCCATTGTGACTGAATTTCCGAACACCGAACTAGCCACCCCCTCTATTAGAGCCGCGTTAACCAGTGCCGTTTGGATTCAGTGGCGTTCTTAAAATCGTACGTCTTTCTGGCCCACATATTGAAAATCTACAATTATGGATCCTTCCCTTCCCTGGATCCTACACTGAGTACTATTAAAGGTAGCAATTCCTGAAAAGCCTTACAAGAAAGGGAAGACACCTTATTATTTTACATGCTGATTCTGAAGGTTTTGTAGAAAATGCATTATTGGTTTTTGAAGGTAAAAAGATGGGAGATTACTATGAAGATATGAATTCCGAAGTATTTTAGAAAATAATAATTTTATTACTGATTTTTTAAAACAAAAAATTGATGAATTTCTAACCAAAATGAATAAAATGTAACTAAATATTCAAACAAATTTTATTTATTAAAATAGAATAAAACAATTTACAAAATTGTTATAACATTTAAAATACCATCTACTACTTTAGGGATAATCTTAATTTGGCACAATGAGTTAACATTACTTTCACAAAAAATATTTTAAAAATACTCAAAATTAATACATAGGTATGTATGAATAGTTCACTTTAAAAAAATTATGTTGACATGTAGTGTTATAAAAATGTTGGTTCCAGTTTTCAAAATAAATTCTGACTCATAGGCCTGTAAACTTTTGAATGCCTTTATTTGCCCTCTAGCGCATTAACCATGGGTTAAGCCATAATATCCACATTAATCATACAACAGATACCAGTTACTGTGTGATCCACTTGTCATTCACTAATTAACTTTTACTTTTTATACTTATAACCAATATATTATTAAAAAATGTAAACAGATCTTTATATTTTATACTAACCTGGCTACATCTGGATATTCCATTAACAATTTTCTTAAATATTTAATATCCATTTTAAAAAGATCAAGTCGATTTCAAAATCAAGAAAAAAGTATTTCTGACATCAATCAACAACCATATTGACTTTAATTTGACAGTGACATTTCGTTTTAGACACACATTTCAGATCACAATAATGTGAAATTTGCGACCGTTGTCTGGGACCAATTAATAAATTACTTCTATGACATTTATTCGTTTCTTAACCGCTCATTGGCCGTTCACCGACTAAGGCCGATAAAGATAATTATTTCATAAATTTTAAACATGACTATATTTCGAAACTCGCTCTTAGTAACAAATCTAGTTACTTTTCCCTGTGTAAATGCGTTTTTTCAATTCGCTCCTCCTAGTTTAAAAACAGAGTATAGTACTCTCGCTGTCTTTACTTTCTTCCGATGAACCCGTATTTTTGTTCGTAAGTAAAAGCTTGACAACGCCGATGTTTGGCTCACAATAATAAGGGATCCATGTTTACGCGATAGCTTCTGTTCGAATTATATTCTGGACCATGCAGCAGTCGTACAGCGTTGCCAAATTATTAAGCAATTGTATCTCTATGTTAGAAAAACGAAAAAAATCGCCAAAACGCCACTGACGCTTAAATGGGATGGACCTGAGAGAGAGGCAAATTATTGCGGCCTTTGTCAGGTATGATGTGTGTGGCTTTTTCTTAGTTGAATCGTACTCTACGTTCGCGTGTACTGTGAATAATTACGTTTTCTCAGAGTATCTCTGTGGTGGAACTCAAGGTCAAATATTTCTATTCCTTCAACATCAAAGTTCCGACCATTACTTTCTTTTCTGTATTGTTCTTTCTTTTGTGGTATCGTGGTTATTGACATATAAATGTCAAAACACCACCGATTAATGACGGTTACCCATAATAAATAATTAAAATATGACTACAATTATTAAATTATTGAAAAACTGTTTTGCGAAGCTGAATAATCTCAACAGAATAAGTACTAATAGAAAGTACGTGCCCTTATATAGTATTCTAGGTGCCACCGCCACATCAATAATAGTTTATAAAATTAAAAGAAGTCGAAGTGTAAAACTTCTCAAGCTAACTTCAAGAGAGAAAAGATTCATTGAATTTGCTTCAATAGAGTTTAATGGTCAAATATACATGACACCTCAGGATTTTCTTGAATCTATTATAGAAGTAGAGCCAAAACCTAGGTTAAAAAGAAAAATTCTTGACCACAAAGATTTGGACAAGATTAAAAACACTACACCACCTTTAAATAAGAGTTCATCTAGTTTATTTAGAAACCTAGAGAATAATGGAATTATGTCATATACCGAATACCTATTTCTCATTTGTATATTAATAAAGCCCCAATCTGCTTTTAAAATTGCTTTCAATTTGTTTGACACTGATGGAAACCAGAAGGTTGACAAAAATGAGTTTCTGTTGATAGAGAAAATATTTAGCAATACCTGGAAGAAAAAAAGGAACATAAAAGATTCCAAACCAAATAATAAAAGTTCTATTATGGAGCAGTACGTAGATGACGAACAGGGCCTTCAAAGAAAACACATTGTTGATACGACCATTTTGATACATTTATTTGGTCCTAAAGGGAATGTCGATTTAAATTTTGACACTTTTAATAGATTTGCGTTAAATTTACAAGCAGAATTACTAGAAATTGAATTTGTTGAATTTTCAAAAGACCTGCCTACAATTTCTGAATTAGACTTTGCTAAAATACTTTTAAGATATACGTACTTAGACACTGACGAGTGTAACGATTATATTAACAGATTCAAGAAAAGAGTTAGAGTTAATTATAGGATAACTTTTGAAGAGTTTAAACTGTTCTGTCAGTTTTTAAATAACATAGATGATTTTAGTAATGCTATTAGAATCTATACATTAGCAGACGTGCCCATTTCCATAAAAAAATTTCGAAGAGCTTTTAAAATTTGCACAGGAAAGAGTATAAATAAAAATTTGGCAAAAATTGTGTTTGATATTTTTGACGAAAATGAAGATGGTTTTCTGAGCAACAAGGAATTTATAGCTCTCATGAAAAATCGCTTGCAACGGGGTTTTATGTCACATAAAAATAATAGAGGGTGGAACAAGTTTAAAAAGTGCTTTAAACAAGAATTTAAAACATTCATCCTATTCCACTAACTGTTTTCGTCAAAAAAATATGTTATACTAATAATTGATATTAGGAGTATGTAGGTAATATTTCATTTATCGCTAAATAGTATTTTAAGTTTTGGTGTAGTAGATGAGATTGTAGTGTGTCAGCACAGTACGTAATTAATTTATTATTTTTATTAAAAGATATTTTTAAGTTGCAATGTGCTTAGTGGCATCTATCATTTTGGTGAAATTGTAATTATTTAACTTTATTATATATATAAAAAAAAAACATTAAAGAACATTAAAAACAATGATTTGTAATTAAAATAACTAGCTAATTTAAATTACGTTTAAATAACTTGAAAATCATTTATTCAAAGCAAATATTATAATATAATTTAAATTAGGCGAGCAACAAAGCTTTCACTTAAGAGTTATTGCTCCGATGACAGCAGGAAATTTGTATTAAAAATAGGCATTCTGTTTTAATCCTAGAAGACAGTTTTAAAGATAATACCATATATGTGCCCTGGGTTTTCATACTTTTTTGAAAAAATGGTCCGTTTTATCAACAAAAAATTATAAACTTTATTAATTTTGTTTAAAGAAGAACTTTTAATAGAGAATTAACATTATCAAACATGCATTATTTTCCGAACGATTAATGTCAACTTGTAGTAAATCTTTTTCTTAATAAAATCGAAAAATGATTTTTAAAATTGGACTTAATATAAAGCCGTAATTATTAAAATAGCAAAGTAATTTCCGATATAAAAATGATTGAAAAATATGATTACGATATCCTCTTCGTACCGAAGGATGGCTGCTGTTGTCTTCCTCGTCTACCTAGTATTGAAATTTGGCCAGATACGGAATGAGGGTAACTGAAATTAATATTGCACGGTTGGTGCGAAGAGGGAAATTTTATTACATGAAATAATTTTGTTTTCAATATAGAATTTGCAATGTTTTAATATATTTAAAAAATAGTTTGATTAGAAAAAATTAGGTAGAAGAATTATATTTTTTGATAGTATTATATTTTCTAAAATAATTCATTTTGCAAAGAATATCAACTAAGGTACTAATATAATAAAATCTATAAATAAGCCTTATAAATAATGTATTTAACAAATGTTTCATAATATATTAATAATATACACGTTTTCTGACTTATCTGTGAATGAAACGTGGAGAAAATACCTAGTTTTACTTACAAGTTTTTCTTGATTTTGTTGCTGTCTGCTGTTATAGTGATCTGATAATTTGCAGACTGTATAATTTTTTACAGAGAGATATTTCCTTGGATGCCCTCTTTTCAGCATAGAATATATAAAGCAAGAAGATGACTTAATATTTTATTTTGTACATGTATATAAAATACATTAATTTACATCATTTAATGTATAATAGTATTTTGTAATTTTTTACAATACTTATGAATGCCTTTTATTTGTAAATTATGCTATTGGTTTAAGAAAATGAAATTCAGAATTATTTTGGTCTATATATATTAACTAAAACTCAAAAAGATATTCTCATAGAAATATTATTTTAAAAACTGAGTGCACAGAGCCGAATTGTTTTGTTACTATCCAGCTTTGATTGGTTCGAATTTCATGATGGCTACAGTTGAATGATGTTATCATGTTTTGTTGTTGCTAACTTTGAGATATAAATACATTTCTCTTTTTGATGTCAACGATCTTAAGAGTTTTTGCTTTTAAAATATGTAAATATCACAATGACATTTTTCCACAATTATGTGACGTTATGACATACAAGTTTTTTTTTTATATTCACAGTAAGTATGTATCTTGGACCAAAAGTAAAAAAAGAAGTATATAGAAGTAAATGTAAATCAATGTCCCTAGGACAGAAATCAAATCTTTGTTAGGGCAACTTATCACCTGCCACAAGAGCAAGTTAAACTTATTATAACAGGGTCATGGCATTGGTAACGTAGAGAAAAAGTTTATGAAAACCGATTAAAACTTAGAAAATATATAGTCAAGGAGGAGCATGCCATGTCCGCGTTAATCTAATCAATCTGTCGGAAGTGGTAGCCATGTTGTACTATAGATGACTCATCATAATATGATAAATGGTTTTTGAAATTGGTTTATAATTTTATAGACATTTTTAAAAACAGTTTATTGTTTTAGTATTTAGTTAGTATTACTGTCAATTTTAAGTTTTCCGCGTTAAAATACAAACAGGACAATATAGTCAGTTGTTACTCTTGTGGATATAGTAGCACAGCTAAAAGTAGAAAGGAAGGAACTACATTTCATAAGCAAGTTCTCTCAATTTTTACCCAAATTAAAGAATATTTAAATTTTTATTGTTTTAAATGTGTAAACAAACATGGTAAGTGTGTCTGCGATCAACTGTGCTCATAGGTGTAGTCTCATGGTTTATAGGGTATACATACTTCTATTTAAACAGTTATTTTATGCAATTTTAAGATATTTATGTGGTTTTTAAAATGAATAAATTATTGTTTAATTTAGATTTATAAATTCATTGCAAATAAACAATTTTCAGATTAATTAAAGATTCTAGATTTACAAATTATACAGGGTGTTATTGAAATACACGTACATATTAAAACTGGGTATTGCGCAGATCCCCACTGAATGTAGAAAAATATTATTTTTTAAAAATACCCCTTATTAAGGGAGTTATTAATTTTTGAAAATTAATTCTAAAACAAACGTACTTCACTGATATGTTGAGGATGACCTATATAAATTAGGTTTATTTACCTATTTTAAACATCAACAGTAATTAATATGCAAGTTTTTGTCAGATGATAAGAAAACTAGTCTTGTAAGAAATAACCATGTTGCCAAGATTTTCGAATTAATTTCTATTTCCGAAGACTGGTTTTTACTACCATCGTTATCAAAAAACTAGAATATTTGATAAATGATTGTTTTTAAACTATACATTTTTGAAACTATAGATTAATAAAATTTTAGTTGATTTACGAATCTGGCTAACACGAGCGCGTCATTTCCAAGTTGGTAAAAAGTGTTGTTACGATTACTTTTAAATATTTTTTTACGATGCCACTATTTACGAATATTGAACTAACGGATATAGTGCTGGTTTATGGGGCAGCTGGAGAAAATTCTCGGCAAGCACAAATCCTGTATCGCGAACGGTTTCCAAATCGGAGAATTCCGGACTGTCGTACGTTTATTTTAACTGTTCAGCATCTAAGAGACCATGGAAAATTTGAGAGTGTCAATGCAGATCGAGGGAGAACAAGAACACAAAGAACATTGGCGGCCGAAGAAGAAATATTGGAAGCTGTTGAAAACCGGCCTCAATTAAGTTGTAGAAGACTAGGTCTTGAATGTGGAGTGTCCTCATTTGTTGTGTGGCGGACACTTAAAGAATAAGGTTTACATCCTTATCACATCCAAAAAGTCCAGGCCTTATATCCAGGTGATGAAGAAAAGAGAGTGGAGTTTTGTGAATGGATGATTCAAAAATGTGTTGATATTCCTGATTTTCTAAAAATATTATTGTATACTGACGAGGCTTTATTCACTCGTGATGGCGTGTTCAATATGCACAATACGCATATTTGGAGTGATGAAAATCCTCACGCCATTAGGGAAACTGGGCATCAAAGAAAATTTTCAATAAATGTTTGGGCTGGCATAATAGATCAGTATTTAATCGGGCCTTATGTTCTCCCGAACAGATTAAATGGGCCAGGATATCTCCACTTTTTAGAAGATATTTTGCCAGTACTCCTAGAAGAGATACCGTTACAATTAAGGCAACGGATGTGGTACCTACTAGATGGCGCTCCTCCTCACTTTGATTTAAACGTACGGCAGTTTTTGAACATTAGATTTCCTCAAAAGTGGATAGGCAGAAATGGACCTACTAAGTGGCCTCCGAGATCTCCGGACTTAAATCCATGCGATTTCTTTTTGTGGGGTCACATGAAACAACTGGTTTATAATGAACCTATTAATAGTGTTGAACAATTAACCAATAAAGTTAATGCGGTAGCCGAGGAACTACGACAAAATCCAAGACTAATTTCTAATGTTCAAAGTTCTTTGAAAAGACGATTGCAAGTGTGTGTAAATAATAATGGACGGCATTTTGAACAATTACTGTATAAACTTTATTTTGAATTAATTGGTTTTGCTACGGCAACAGTGCAATTTCTATGGGTAAGTTCAATTTCGATTTATTTTACTTCTTTAAATATGGAAACTAGTAGGTCGGTAAAGGGGACTCTTCCCCAATATTTAAATTTTAGAATTTGAAGTTAAAATTGGTGCCAATCGTTTTTGGTCATTACATACTATTCCCCATTTTAATATGTACGTGTATTTCAATAACACCCTGTATAAATTAATCCTAGGTAAACAATTTTCAGATTTCCTAAAGATTCTCAAAGAAGACAGTTATGGCTTGACTTCATGCAACAAACAAATTGTGTAAGCCAAATTTCAAATTACTACTTTACAACCTGAGTTAATGGGTCTTATGTCAAATGCATTTTTAATTCGATTTTAAGTTTACACAAAATAAAAGGCCAAAATAATGAGATGTATGTAGTTATTTTAAAATTATTTCAATAATTATTTAAAGGATCTAAGTTAATCGTCAATTTTAATAATTAAGTCATCATATCGATTTTACTGTTAAGATGGATATTACATAAATTAAAATAGAAATGATGCGTTTGACATTATGTGACAGCTGATGTGGAAATGTAAAACGAGGTTTATATCATAATAAATAAAATGATTTTAAAAAAACAATCAATAATAATCGTATTTATTCAATTTTCATAGTTTATAAAAAAAGAAAACTAAAAAAAAAAACACAAAAAAAAAATTCTGCACCCGCAAGGATTTGAACGCGGTCGCTTGCCAGGTCTCAAATGGCAAAGTTGATAAAGTTTGATACTCTACTAGCTGAGCTAATAGGCCTTGCGCCAATTGAATGATCTAATCGGTTATGTGATTAACCATAATAAAAAGCAACCATAACTTGATTATTTTAAAATTATAATAATAATTGTTAAAGATAAATATCTAGGATCTAATTTATAACAA